GCCCTACGTCTAAAGCTCTTATCCATTCACTTAAATCGAATCAAACAGTTCGTACACCACAAGTTTGTACCACACTGATCTCATGCCTCCCCCCCCCCAGATATTTTTCTTGGTTTACTACAAAAGGAGATCTGGTGATATTCAGACCAGGCGGGCATTCATCCATAGGTTTTGGTCTAACTAGAATACATATAGTAGTATACTGGCTGATTCCCCGCATAATCTAAATGTACTTTCATTTCTGCTACTCGTTCGAAGTACCAACACCTTCAAGCACTCATCAACGCAAACAACCCGTCCACGGTTCCATATTTTGACCGCTTTTTGTGTCACCCGGACTGTATTTCCCGGGATTGGTTCACTTTCACACTGTAGTGTACGTAATCACTACTCCGTTTTTCTCTATGGGATATTCAGTTCAGTTCCGTTCAGTTTCTACAGCCAGTAACCATGCACTTGCTTGCACCGATTACGGTTGCTGTCTTTTGGCCGCCCATGTGGATAAAAGAGCAGAATGAGGACTGGAACGTTGAAAGCAGAGTCAAAGAGAGAATAGAGAATTCATATAGGCTAAGGTTGCAAGAATATTGAGCAGATGCAAGAGCGCCACTGTTTGCGACACCCAGCCATATCACTGTGTCTCTAACCATCGGTTACGATCATCCCGAGGTCCCCATCCGGGGAGTCTAACGGGGCCTATTTGACCAAGTCTCCTGGTTAGGGTTTTCACACCCTCATACCAGGTCTTAGTTTGACCACCCCTGACCTTTTTCCATCTGCCACTTGCCTCGGCAAACATCGCTCATCATCATTGTACAGCGTAATACAGTGAATTGAACTTCGCTGATCACTGCCAAACTCATGTTGCATACAAGGTAAGTGATAATATGTAAGGACCGGGATTGGACCCATTCTTAGGGACTGGAAAAGAAAGCGAACCTCTACGGTCAACACAGAGTAAACAGTTCAACTGAGCATACATACTATTTCAAGCATTCTGGTTTAATAAGAAGTGACAGCAAGATCGCCATTGCTGTCGGTTCGCAGCCATGACCTTTAGTGTCTCCAACCATACGGTTTCGGAGTATTTTGAACCCCAACCCGGAAGACGAGCGACACTTACTCTAACTAATCGCTCTGTGCATTTATTTATGCCTCGTCTCCACGTCATCTGCTGGCCTCCACGTGGCTTCCTACAGCCTGCAACAGCCACTGCGAATAAAGCGCGCCGCGGTAGGCGACCGTCGGACATACGCAAGACGCGTCCGAACCAACGGAGCCTATCGAGATGGATTCGATGCGATAGCGACTTCGTGTTCGACGCATTCCCATTCAACGGACAACTTACTTCCAAGTTACTAACCCGCTCACTCCATCCCACTTGGGCCAGACTACGTAAGCATCGATTTTCGAAAACCTCTAGGCGACGGAAGTCTTCCACCTGCAAGTTCAACGTCTCACAACGGTACAACAGAACTGATCGTACAGTGGCAACCTATTTAGTGACATTTAGTGACAAGTGGTTAGGTCACCAACTTGTGACTCGGGAGTCCTGGTTTCGAACCGCTGCATTGCCCCTCCTTCCCAGGCAGTCTTTGTACGGCCGCGGCCCCCTTCCTGAATGCTGACTGTACATTTGTAAATTCACTAAATAAAAAGGAAGTAGAAAGACATTATTATTATTATTATTATTATTATCATACGTCCCAACCAGCGTAATCTATCGAGTTCGACCACTTGCTCCAGTGAACGACCACGACGTTCGGCAGCTGCAGATACACCCGAAGGTATAATAAAGGAATTTCTGGACTTGGCTTGATCTGACTTGCATGTCTCACATTTGGATATTCATATAAGTATATAAAACCGCGAAATTATGTGATATTCCTCATACTGAACACTGTTTACAAAGTTTATTCTCCATATTTGCCTGAACCGCTGATTCATTTATAAAAGAAAAAACTGTGGGACAAAAAAAGTAACATTTTGGAAACAGTTCCAACAATAAAACAGCAACTTTGGGGGTGAAACCTCGATTGGCCATCGGTAATCGAGACCACTCGTGGTGCCATCCATTGACATGCATACAGCATCAGAGTCCGAGCAGTGCCATTTGATGACTACAAACCATGGCCAATCCGCAGCGGAACTATGTACAGACTGCCCGTAACTGATCATGGCTGATTTTGAAAAAGAAAAACCGATTTGCTGGGAAGACGGGGGTGCAATCACATTCCCAATGAAGCAATTTGACAGTAGACATGCAATGGTTCAAACAGTTGTGAAATTGCGAGCTTATAGAGCTTGGCTATGTTCTACGAATGACAACCTACCACTAACCTAACGGCCTCCTGTTCATGTCTCCTTGTCCTCCCGACTGGAGGAAGGTGTTTGGAGGACAGACCTGGTGTGAGCACGTGAAATGAAAAGAAAAAAGTAAATATGGACTTTTATCATACTTACTGAGGCCCACTTCAAGGATGCAGCCCAGAAAATGAGGACTTTCGTAGAATATGGACGGTGAAAAATTTGGCCTTGAGCCGAGACGAATGGTGCGTGCGTGGTTGTTTGTTTTTCGTCAGACGGCATATTGATTGTAAACGAGAACTCAAAGAAAAAGCATGTGAAAATAAAAAAGTTCTACGACTTTCCATTCTGTAGACCATCAGACGACGCTTTGTTTACCCATTCCTATTTTGGTTCTGTAACCGTCTGATACCTATTTACACCCAAACACCGAAGTAGCTGATCCGATACACAACTTCAAGATAGGTAGGTGAGCTTACGACTTTCTTAACCGTTGTGTTACGGTGGTCTATGATCCCCCAGTATGTGTATCTGGGTAAACACCAGTTCAAGAAATCAGATCTATAAAATAACGTTTGGATTAGCCACACCCTGGAATGAAACAAAAACCTAGTTTTGTGTTGAAAAGATACCCGATATCTCTTGTACAAATTAATGTTTCTACTGTTTTTCATCCCGCCACATTGTGATCGGTGTACAGCACCCTCATGTGCCTGTCGCATATTGCACACTCACCTGGATATAATTCTCAAAAGATCGTGTGAGCGAGTAGTGGATGACCGCTTGTAAATCCGGCTTGTTTACACCCATTCCGAACGCGGTTGTGGCAAACAGAACTCGGAGACGTCCGGTCATGAAACGCTTCTGGATGCGCGCACGCTCTGTCGACGTCTGACCAGCGTGGTACGCAGCGGTAGTCCATTCCATCCGACGACGACCAACCTGAAGGAGACAGACAGAGAAAGGAGGATACATAGCTGACTGACGATATACGACGAGCACCTACATTCATGAGTGCGACCAATTTTGATAACTCATTGTTTTTACATCTGTGCTTCTAGGAATTCCATGATCAGGAAGAAATACGGTTGCCAGGAAATTTTGGACCAACCTTCTTCTCCGACACACACACACACCCTCTCCCATTCAATGAAACTGCTAAAATGTTGCACAATTCACGTGGAGAATGAGTTTATTTACCTTCAGTTCGGAGCAAAGAAACTGACAATTTCATCATCCATTTTTTCTTGCTGCATTTTTTATGAGTCTGGCAAAGCTAAGCAAACGTGTACTGTTCTTTTCCTGACCATTCGCAAGTTCTCGAACTTGCGCATTACTCAACAATGACTAGTTCCTTACCCATTATTCCGCCTGTTAGTCATTCGTATTAGGCAACTCGAATCAGCAGGTCTCATTCTTAACCCCACCTTTCTCACCACAGCCTCCGTATAAAAATGTGCAAAATAGACGAAAGCCAGTGAAATGAAAAGAAGTTTCTAGATGCCACCCTCGAAAGCGATCTTCGTTTTATCTTTAGATGCTAAGATTGTTATGGCAAGGGATCAGATTGCTTTGTGGACAGAAGGAACGGACAAAAAACAAAATTACTGAGATGGACAGCCTCAATGCTGCATTCATTCATCCATCAAATGACCTCCTGTCTCCGTACCCATATATCCCCTATCTACCATAGACCCAGTCACCCATGAGGTCTATCATCTTAAAACTACGAAAATCACGAACACAGCCGGCTCCGATGGTATATCTTCTTCATCGCTCAAATATGGCACCGGCTTACTCACAGAGACGTTTGCATCGCTTATTACCAAAGCCATTTACACTTGCTCAATGCCGAATTCCCGGAAACCGTTCACCACTGTACCCATTCCGAAATCATTTTCATCTACCATTTTATCCAAACGTTTTCGTCCTATCGCCATCACCTCCCCTGGACTTAAACTAGTACAGCGCGCTATTCTCATTCGCTTGCAGTCTGGTATTAATGTTCCCAATGACCCCCTCCAGTTTGCGTACAAGCCAAATAGATGCACTTTGGATACCGTCACTTCAATGATTCACTTTATCCGCAAATCTTTAAATGATTCTCAAAAGTCGGTTCGTTGTGTTTTCCTTGACTATTCTTCCGCTTTCGATTCCGTTCCACGAAAAGTTACAAAAGTTACAGTCATTCGGTTGCCCCACCAACGTATTATCATGGTCGAAAGATTATTTCACAGGAAGGATTCAAAGAACGAAAGCAAACGGCAATATTTCAAAACCGTTAGTGAATAATTCTCGTGTCCTTCAGGGTGGTGTGCTCTCTCCCTTCTTATTTTCAACTTTCATTAGTGACTTACCCTCAATCCCACCAGCCAAGACCTTTAAGTATGCAGATGATGTTGTCTCATGTCAAGCTATTTCAAACCAATCAGAAATACAATCATTTATCTACAGTTTACAAAAAGTGCAGTCATTCTCGAATCAATCCGGTCTCCGGTTGAATACTTCTAAATGCTTTGAGTGCATCTTTAGTCGTTCCCGATCCGATTATCTCTTGGAATTCTCAGTCATCAATTCCCTACCCATCACTAGAAAACATACCACCAAATACCTAGGAGTCACCATAGCAATCTACGGTGATCCTCTCATGTGCTTGCTTGTGTTGGTAGACTGTGCCGCTTATCTTTGCAAATACGCAAGCTACGACAATTTCGCGTCAGGCATGAAACTGTATGTTCTTTTGTTTATCAATGCATTTTTCCTGTCATACTTTATTGTTCGCCCGTTATTTCACTGGACTACTTAAAAAGGATTTAATTACTCCAAGTCGCGGTTTGGTAATTACCAGCCGTGATTCTCTTATTCCTTTAAACACTCTGATCACAAAACTATGTAATTTGCATATCACTTCATGTGAGAACTTTGCTCATAAGATACTCAATGACCCCAATCATCCGCTCAATCCTGATTTATCTGCTTGCCGTTCCCACGCGCTACAACCCGATCCAATTTTCGCTGCTTTCCCTCCCGCATAAACATTTACCGCAACTCAACGGTTCCTTATCTGGCTCATATTCCCACTGACACAGCGAGGATCCGTAACGAACTAATATTAAATCTACAAAGATGAACACCATTTAGTTTTATCATTGTTGTATACGATTTTTCATTTCATTTTTTTATCCCATTGTAACGGGGAAAACATTTTTGATTGAAATATAGGCACAGTTGCCTGCACAAGTCATCTATAATACAATACCGTTGTTGCTCACAATCCGGGGAGGGAGTTCCCTTCCTCAGAGGATAGAAATAGCATTGCTTTAGCACGACTGTCGTTTAACACCTATACCTACTGACTGCTTTCCAGTGATTTTCCCCGGTCCATTCACGGCCGATGTTCAGCTTAGCAAGTGTGGCCACACAAAAAGAAATCCCCACAGTTTCCAAAACCCCGTTTACCCCTTCTGATCAGCGATATTTGTGAGGGACACACGTGTGGACACGTGCTGGAATAGTGCCAACAAATAGTCACATTCCCAAAAAGACACAGATCGACACATCAGTCGCATCACTGCCGGGGGATCAGGTGATCAATCAGCTCTCATTGCGGATCTTTAATTCTTACTTACGTATCACACCTACGATACCAAAAGTGAGATATTGACTTAGGGCTTTCGGAATAGAAACTATCCTGAGGTCTCGGGAACAGTGACGCACTGATGCAAGTTCATCACAATTTCGGGCTCCCCCGGAACTGCCCTGCACAATAAGAACAGATCAGTGACTGATCATTTTCGTGTGAAAACAGCGACCAACTGGATCAAGCTGTATCGCAATTGACATGGTAAGGTTAAAAAAGAACGGTCAGATCAGTTTCATTCATTTGGTGGTTCATTTTTATGATCAATGATACTGCCGGTCAAACGAACCCGTCTATGAAGTGTGACTTGATGTGCTGCGACTGTTCGCCCAAAGCTGTTCAATGGTCCAAACATCTATTCGTAACGGAATAAGCATAGCACACACACGGCGCTATCTTTGCCGTATTGCATGAGTTTGTTGGGACAGTGAGACTATAAAGAAACATTACACGGTGGTACACGCATTCAGTATGATCATCTCCAGTACTTCCTGATGGGAGGACAATATGAGAGTTTAAAACGCCACTCGAGAAAGTAAAGGCAATTATTGATTTTTTCCGCCATCACTCACCTGATTCACGACCGACTGGAGTGAGGTCCGCACGAACGAGGCCAGTCGTTCGGTCTGATCACGTGTGGCACAGTAGACCAGAATGCCCCCAGTCAGTTCACAGAACGGTGGACGGGTAAGCAAACCCAATAAGGCCTCTTCTCGATCCACATCTGTGGATGCGGTAATGGTGAGATTCGGTGGAATTGGGGATAGAGTCGGTTGTACATAACCCGGTTGGAATAAGGTATCCTCATTGATCCGATCCCCGATCAGACGTGGAACTCCATCCGGCATACCCAAATTTTTGCACACGTTCGATATTGTGGAAGGTGTGCATGTGGCCGATAAACCTGTGAGGGAAGAGAGAATAAACGGGATCGAAAAGAGCGTATTTTGAGTGGCCTAAGTGCTCTGAGTTTACGATTCCTCAGAACGAGCACTAGGATTCTAGTCGCTTCCTGTTGATGAAAACGGTCGGGAAACAGACACAACCTCATTCACGCAGAAACAGATCCGGAAACTCTACTGTTCACGACAGCTCTGCATACAACTGGGGACCTATAACTTCGTAATAAGAAATGGTTCTGTTCTCTGAGCGAGTAGACTGGTGTCATTCAATCTGATAGTGTGATCAATGCAAATCTTAGTGTGAAGTCACAAACTAATCCATCGCTTGGACACGTTCAGCCTGTACAGCGTTACAATTAAGCGTTTCTGAAAGCATGATTACCTCCTACACGAGATGTGACATAACCGGTTGCGTTGATTTAGTAACTCTCACGTTGAAACTTTGTATTTACTGAATTTTGTTATTGTTTCAACCAATTTGTCAAGCATGTTGGTGAAAACGATTTGTGGACGAGGAAATTTTATAAGTTTAAACTCTGGATGACGAAAGTGAGATGGAACAGCAAGGGGAGATGCTTATCACCAGTTGACCAGTCATTGGATTTCTCAGTGGATCAATCCGAAGGTTCTATGTTCCAATCTCATCACGCTTATCCGAACGGAAACCTCCGACTGATCACAACCTCCTATCCCCGGCGGCCAGGTGTTTGGGATGAAAATTATATATGAAGATACGAATAAGTTTCAGTTTTTATTACCATTAACCATGCACTCTCACGGGCCGGCTTTAGTTGCTGTTTCATGACTGCTCAGTTTGGATAAAAGAGCAGAAGATTGGAAGGTCGCTAGCAGAGAAGATATAGAATTCACATGGATTAGGTTGCAAGGATAATGAGAAAATGCACAATCGCCACGGTTTGCGACAATCAGCTATACGATTCAGAATCGCTAAACATCGGCTACGATGATCCCGGAGGAAGATTGGTATCGAGCAGGATTGAGAAGAATCAAGAATTAGTACTAAACTAGTGTACAAGCAGCGCTGCTGAAAATTCTCCTAACAAGGCGTATGATGTTGCTCATTGCCGTTGTATGATATTCAATAGAAGAAAGAGGAAATTTTAAAAAAATCAAGGTACGTTTTTCAGCCATGGGGATTTTCAACGGGTGACGAATGTTTTTACTAGTCACCATATAAAATCGTCTTTTTCTGATCAAATATATATGGGTAAATTATGACAGAGAGGTAGTCATTTGTCACGGCCGTTGTTTTAAGCCCTTGGAATGCCTTGATTTGCAGTGTGATGTGTTACTTGGTTTGACGTCGCTAGTTACAGAAAACAGTTACGAATTTTTGGAAACTACTACACAATGCGTTCTCTCTCTATTACAAGAAATGCTCGTAACCTTGAGTATTACGGCTGAACGAGCCAGCAGATAATGATTGATTAAGTCAACTATCGGCCCAAAATGAGTTCAAATACGTCTAAGAGCATTCAGTACTTGTATGGTTTGAATCCTCGCACGAACGAACTTGCGTGTACTGATAATAACCATCTGCGCGACTTGGCTATTTGATCTGTGATAATTAACTAGTCTAGCAATTAAAGTTCACAGGAAATAGCGAGTTTAGCCCGGGAGAATTCACTAATCTCAGGATATATATTGATCGTATTACGTCAGAACTGGATGTCTGTGAAATCGTAGGAGATAAGAACCTGTATAACCAATTGATTTAGCGATTAGTGTGAGGTGCTACCGACCGCGGAACTCTGGTGTAGGGGTTATAACTCTAAACCCAGAGGGTTACTCTACAGAGTCCGAGTACTGTGAGGTACTACTCATCTTCGTGAGTAGTTCCCAAAAGGATGCGATTGGTGGTTTCTTTCAACGGTCAAAAATGAGAAAGACCTGTTGGAGCGAATTGCTGTGTTCAGTATGGTAACTACAAGAATACGCACCTAATAGTGGACCGTTCCATTAACTATGCTGTGTGTGGGGGGGGGGAATTCTGAAGACTCGTTCCAAATGAGACATTTTGTTGCTAATTTACCGATACTCAGATTTTATTCGTAATGAACAACTATCCTCGTCAAGGCACCGTCTTGTAGAATTATAACACGAGGAGAGTCATAAGCACACTGCTGAAGAGTCCAAACAAGGAGGTAACTAACGGGCAGTGCTCTCTTTGTCGAGATTCACATAATTTTATCATCAACCTGATTGGAAAAATGTCATCTTATGCTGATACAAACACGGGAACCTACCGAGGAAACAGGAGACACCGAGCGTGTCACGAAGAATCCGACATACTCTCAAATAGGATGGTCTGAAGTGATGCGACCAGTCCGCTAAACAATGAGCCTCATCCACACAGACAAAGCTGATTCGGGGCAAGCGTCCCGGTTGTAGAAGCCAGTCGGATTCGACTAACGCTTCGGGGGAAACTAGAATAAACGCGTACTGTCCGCTAAACGAGGGAAACGAGATGGAACAGCATGTGTATGTGTAAACGGAATCGGTAACACACGGAACGATGTGGGCAGAAGATCGAAAACAGACTTGGAAATTGAAATAAAGAGAATAGATGTACAACGGGAATTATTGCTTAAATCGCACTTGGTGAATCGGAGGAACAAAAATCGGAGAAAACATATTTGGTCAAATTCAAACAAAAAGACTGTTGGTAAAATATCCTCGTCGAAGCACAAGAACAAAGTGCAAATGCGAAGAAATTTCACAGAGGAAAGGAAAATAGAAATACTGGAATATCGTCTACCGAAGGCCATTTTTGACTGTCTTCCCACAGCTCATTTGAGCTCCACATCGAAGACCAAGCCACTCAATGCTCAAAAACTTGAGGATTATTGGCCTCACCAATCCCAGTTATTTGCTCTGTCTGTATACTGTAGTAAAGACACGGCGCAGACATTTTGAACTGAGTGTGAGTTGTGTGCATGTCTCACTGGACCTTTTGGTCCATGGTTGCTTTTTGTATTTTCCCTGTCTTGCAGGTCGTTTGGAAGCCCCCTAGACGGAGAACCTACTGAGAGGTGTCCTAACTGAGTGACCTAGGGTTGTGCGGGCTTTTTGGGACGACGCTAGTTGTCCAAGAACTCGTACTGCGTTGCCCGGAGTCAACTTGACAGTGTATTTCGAGTGAATTCAGAGTTGGGGTCGGTCCTGCATACTACACTATATCAGCTTTTGGTACTGATGATATCGGACACACAACGACGCACTTGTCCAAGAGAACATCTTCGAACTGTTCAGTCACCCTTCGAGAAGGAACAGTGATGAACTGGACCAGCTCGATCATATCACACCCGATCGACAGTGAATACAAGATTGACCCAGAGACAGCATTTACAAGTGCCATCATATCACCTCAAAACCACACCAGAGGATTACGTAAGAAGACCCGGACAACGTCAGAATCCATAGTAATTAGAATCATGAAGCCGGATGTTGCTAAGGTGGTTTGAGCTCTGGTGTTATCATAGCCATAAGTGATTACCCCATATTTATGTCTTATTTACCATATTTTTATCTCACGTTCACGCCTGTTTTATTCATTATCGATCGATACTAGTCTTAGTGTATGCAGCTCAAAATTTTCCGAGCTGCCTTTAGCTTTTCGTTTTTCATGACCTTATAGCTTGATATCAATCGAGCATATTGCACACACAATAATTCAATCAATACCAGCTTAATAATCTACTGAATACCGGAGAAATACATGTGAATGTCAGTGAAACGGTTTGCCCTGTTCAATCCTTTTTATGAATAGTACACTTGTTCCTTTTTACTACACACCCACGTTTGATGCACAGCAGACGAGGCGAACCATAGTCACGAGGATCTGTTGTTCAGTGGTGGAAACCGGCAATTTAAGCTCCGGGACTTAGAGTGGCGAACCACATAAGACCCCGATAGGTTAGGTGTGGTATTGAACCGGACGACAGCAGAGCTGCTTACCACCAAAGTCGGGCGGCGGCGGCGGCGGGGCTCGAACCTCGGACCATAGAGTGCAAAGCACGCCGGTGACAGCGACTAAACCACTGCGCCACCACCACCCTGCACAGTCAACGTGTAAATCAACATTGAGAAGCATCAGAATAGTCGCACCATTATTCTATTGTCACCTCAGGGTTCGAAGAAAGTGAATTTTGTAGATACGTTCAGTTCAGTTCAGTTCAGTTTTACAACCATAAACCATGCACTTTCGTGCGCCGG